CGACTGTGATATAACGACTGATTTGTTGTATATTGTCAGATTGTCAGTGAATAAACGGAGATCGCCTCGACTGTATGCTGGCTCGGGTCTCATCCATCAACAACATCAACACAACGCAGACACGCTTATCGACACCGGATACATGCACTCATTTCCCAGCAGCCTCACCTGTATTTGGTAGGAGGGAGCAGTGGTGAATGTGTTGCTTGTGTGCAGCAATGTGGCAGATCTCTGTGCTTGTTTCCCAGTTCCACACATGTAGTGCTCCCTCTGAACAGCCAGCCATCACATACCGGCCCTGCACACAGGAACAACATGTCAACACAGCCAACCATACTTTTAAATTCTTAAAGGCTTGTAAAGGGGAGAATGACACAACACATCCTGTATTTTCTCTGAAATGTATAACGACTCACCAGACAGCAGACAGATGTGAGAGGATTCTTCCAGGAGATTTCTCTGAGACATTGGCCCGCCTGCAGATCCCATAAACAAAGCCTCCCGTCGTTTGAAGTGCTTATCTGAAAGAATATACTGCACTTTATGGACAGATCAAGCACTACTCAATAGATACGACAGATGACTGGCTTCCAATTCGGTTCAGAATTGATTTGAAACTCCTTTTATTTGTTTTTAAAGCCCTAAATGGGCATGGCTCTGGCCTATATAGCCGAACTCCTACAGCGCTACACCCCAGCCAGAGCTTTAAGGTCTGCTGACCAGCTGCTGCTGATAGTGCCCAAGACCAGGCTCAAAACCCGAGGGCACCGAGCCTTCGCAGCAGCTGGCCCTAGGCTCTGGAACACTCTGCCCCTCCATGTGAGGTCGGCCCAGACCCTAGGGGGTTTTTAAATCTACTCTTAAAACTCACTTCTTCTCTCTGGCCTTTTAGTCAGAGCGGAGCACGACTCCTGACTTTTCCCTGTGTTTTTTATATATCTGTTGTAAGTTATTGTCTTTTATTGTGATTGTAGTAATGTGTTTTTATGTGATTGTAGTATTTATTACATTACACTTTGGCCCGACCAAAAATCGCTTTTAAATATGCTTTATAAATAAACTTTGATTTTGATTTGATGACATCAAGTCTTCTACAAGAACGGACAACTTTATTAATTATGTTGAGGATTTAGATCTGTTTTAAATTCACATGATCAAGTTAATCACTTATTTCAGTTTGAACTGCAGTTTCCTATAATTTAAATGCTCTTCTAAAAACATCCAATTATTTTGCATGTATTGCATCAATGTACCTAATTGTGTGTACTTTTTTGTGTATACTGTAGAAACATGACTCTCAGGTAACAGCTGTATTTCTGGGGGTAGACGTGTAACTCAGGTTGGTTAAATGGAGACTCACCACGCAGTCTGGAGTCCAAACGCAGCCGGTGATCCAGTCTTTGTGAGAGTGAGGGAGCGACTTAGAGAGGACAGCAGGAGACGAGCTCACGTCCCACACCATCAGAGCCTGAAACAAACAGTACTGAGTTATACCTGTTACCCCGACGCGTGTCTCTGTTACTCTGTCAAATGCATTTCTATATTTTAGGACAAAATCCTACATTTGACCAAATATGTCCTGACATTTATTTGTAAATCTAATCAACTTTCTTTAATGAACGAATTAAGATATTTCGATAATATGGGATCTGCCTCTTTTCGGTAGAGCTAACTTGACTGCAGTAAAACGTCAACAAATACAGATTGAAGGAAATCTTTTGTATATAAAGTACATTTTTAGAAATGTTTATCTTTTTTCAACAAATATAATTAAGACAAAATACAATAAATAATAAAAATAATAATGTTAGAAACTGCAAATGTGTAGAAATACTATATTAATATCAGATGGGAAGTTATGGAAGAAATAAAAAGATGCTGCTCAGCAAACAAATGAATGAATTTTGATCTATTGGTACCGGCCTAGTTACAACACTTAAACACAAACATAGTATTTTACCTGATCTTTTCCACCGGAGAGAAGCTGTCCACCATCAGGGCTGAACGCCAGACAGGTGACCCCCCCAATGTGGCCCCTCAGGACCTCATAAGGCTCAAAGTCAGACCAGTCAAAGGTCAGATTGCTCAACTTCCACAGAGCAATGGGAAAGCTTTCTAATTTTAGAAGGAAAGCAGAGCGGTAAATGACACACATCAGTTAAAAATATCATACAAAATGAAATAAATGTTAATAAATACATATCTAAAGTAGAAAATATATATATATATAAATAGAGTATCTATCTATAGAAAGCATTATAACATAAATTATTAGTCAAAGTCAACTTTATTGTCAATCTTTTTCAGTTTGTGTGTACAGACAGAAATCGAAATACCGTTTCCCACAATAACAAATATATATAAAAATATGTATATCGTATATATACACAATCAAAGACACATTTATAAATATGCACACATTAAGATAAAAGCACAACAATCAATATATGCAAAATAACAGAATAACAGTCACTTTAATATACTGTACCTGAAGATGTAGAAAACTTTTTTTTAATAACATTTAAGGGACAATTCTGTATAACACTATGTCATGTGTTGAAATACCTGAAGCTGTAGCCAGGCTAGTGGAGTTCTGTGTGAATGCCAGGATGCCGCCCGTTACACCAAACATTGACACCATTTCCAGGCCTTCCAGCAGCCCCTCCTCTGTCAGCTTTCTCTTCCAGACCCTCACACGTTTGTCACTTCCTCCCGACAGCAGCAGCTCAGGTTGGGTCTGCTCAGAGTCCAGAACGACCCACAGCAGGCACAGCACCGACACATCCAGGGACCCCGAGTCCCAGATCCTCTCTCCTAACATTCAGATAGAAACAGGAATGGTTTGTTTGTCGACCAGTTCAGCAAGTAAAGAAGGGAGTAAGTAAGTAAGTAAGTAATCAAGTAAGTAAGTAATCAAGTAAGTAAGTAAGTAAGTAATCAAGTAAGTAAGTAAGTAAGTAAGTAAGTAAGTAAGTAAGTAAGTAATCAAGTAAGTAAGTAAGTAAGTAATCAAGTAAGCAAGTAAGTAAGTAATCGAGTAAGTAAGTAAGTAAGTAATCAAGTAAGTAAGCAAGTAAGCAATCAAGTAAGTAAGAACGTTAGTAAGAAAGCAAGTAAGTAAGTAAGTAAGTAATTAAGTAAGGAAGTTGGTAAGTAAGTAAATAAGTAAGTGAGTAAGTAAGAAAGTAAGTTAGTAATTAAGTAAGTTAGTTAGTAAGTAAGTTAGTAAGTACGTTAGTAAGTCATCAAGTAAGTAATTAAGTAAGTGAGTAAGTAATTAAGTAAGTTAGTAATTAAGTAAGTTAGTAAGTAAGTTAGTAAGTCACCAAGTAAGTAAGTTAGTGAGTAAGTAAGTATGTTAGTAAGTTAGTAAGAAAATAAGTGAGTAAGTCAGTAAGTAAGTTAATAAGTAAGTGAGTACGTTCGTTAGTTAGTTAGTTAGTAAGTAATCAAGTAAGTAATATGTAAGTCAGTAAGTAATTAGAGAGAAGAAATGGTATTATG